GATAGATCTATATAGATAGATCTATAGATCTATCTATATAGATAGATCTATATAGATAGATCTATAGATCTATCTATATAGATAGATATATATATAGATATATCTATATCTATACATCTATATATATCTATATACATCTATATATATCTATATATATCTATATCTATACATCTATATATATCTATATCTATACATCTATATATATCTATATAGATATATCTATATATCTATGACAACCTTCCTGAAAGCCATATCTCTATTCATCAGTATTCATTAATTACAGGTATTTTACTAATACATCACTCTTACCACACAATAATAATACATGTGTGTAAAGAGGCGTGTACAATTTATAATAAAAGGTCTAAACATCCCAAGATACCGAAGCTCAAGTCTAGAGGACATCAAAAATAAAAGTTAACATAAAATACATTCAACGCATTCACAGTCTCCAAAAGTGGAATCCATTCAAATCAGGGTTGTGTAGAATGATACACGAGTGTTTATTTATTTATTTAGCTGATATCGTCCCTTTATGGAGCGAAATACATTTGCAAATATTCAAATAACCACAGAGAGTTTATTTGATGATTGGTTGATTGTTCACACACATTTAGGGCCCATTTAGATTTTTACGACATGACTAAAGGATTTTCACATGTAATGTGATTTTGTGACACATCCTTCCTTATTCTGATTTATTGGAGAAATGTTTCCCGTGGCAGCAATGCTGAAATAAGTAATGTATTGATCTTAACATGTTGAATAATTCCTGTGAATTATGCGGTCAAATGAAAATTAAAAGTTCCCAAGAAACGTCTGTGCTCGACAGAGAGAACTGTAAGATCATAATTATAGTCTTCATCGAATAACCGGAATATTATAGTCGCGCAAATACTACAAATATATCCTAATCCTAATTATACATTCTAATTATCAATGACTGAACCATTCGACATTGAACTGTTTGTAGAGATATTATGTGGTTCAGTGTGTTTACTGATGTAACAATTATAAGCCCAACGTTATAATGTGCGCTTTTTTTAAATTAATGCGCATCTGATCTGAACTCTTACTAAAAGGTTAAATAAGAACTAAAAAGCTGTGGAGACCTTCCGTGAGAAGCAGTAACTTACCGGCGGTGAGTCCGGTGGGTTTCTCCTCTCGTGTAACAGCAGGTGGTGTCTCCGCTCGTCTGCACACCTGCAGGGGACAGCGCTGCGCCACACCTTATCCAAACAAACTGCTGCTGTATGATGTCTGCTGCATCTCACTCTCTCTCACACACACACACACACACACACACACACACACACACACACACACAC